CTATGCTCTAATCGACCTTCTGTGTATCTTTGTTCAGTGCCAGGGGGTAACTGCTTCTGTTTACTGTACTTGCCGACTGACAAATCATGACAAATAGCACGTACACAGAAAACAATGGAGATGGCCATGATTTCTGTATAGTATTCTTGAGGTTTCATGGTTTTGATGGCATGCAACATGTACGCACTACGTACCTATTTTTTAGAATATTGCGATGATATTTTACTGTTTTACCAACCGCTAAGGCCAGTGTGAACGCCTGAGCAGGCGTCTTGTTTTAAATAATTTCAGCACACTATAGTTGATCGACAAATTGGTTTAATCAAGATTACATCATTTGGATTACATCTTCCTACACTTCAATTTAGATTACATAAAGTATACCAACCCTTGATTGCATTTCGCAATGCGAAGTTTTTAACCATGCAATTCTGATAATTGAAAAATGTTGATTAAAATAAAGCAAGTATATGATAATCATCAACTTAAAGTAAAGTTAATATCGTGTATTACCACTATATGATTATATAGTCCCCTAACGTTCCTTTACTATATATACTAATTAGCCATTGTGATCATATGTTAATTATTTAAATGAATCTTAAATGTGAATGACCCGATTTATGCTAGAGACGGCCAAATTTGGACGAATTTTTGCGAGCGGAAAAATTAAGATATTTCGACGGCATTAGACAAGCTATCAGGGAAATATCAGGCATGATTTGTTCCCAAAACCATTAAGGGATGAAAATTGAAAGAAATATAATGAAAAATGTTGACAGATTAAACGATGAGCCACGCTCATGGTTTCCCTGCAATATTTTATTTCGTCTGGATGGTTTATCTATCGTGTTTACACTAAACTTTAAGGTCATGTCACGCGAGGCAACGTTTGCTGCAACTTCAGACATACAGAGCCAAATGAGTGAGTCATGTTATCTAAAACTTAGTTACAGAGAAATAATGAACATGGCCCGCATTCCACTCTGCCGAAACTTTATCATTACACGGAACATACTCTTAAGGATGAAAATGAAAGAAACGGGATGAAAAATGTCGTCAGACTAAACTGTGGACCATGCTCAGAAATTTCCAATCTTTTATAGCTAGCAAGGCTCTTCTGTGATAGAAACTGCATTGCAAGTTGCAGCAAATATTGCATCGTGCGACATATGACCAAATGATCCATCTGACAGATGATGCGTTTTGACGATTGATCCATCTCTAGTGTAAATCGGACCACTCAGTTTTTTTAACGAACCAATATGTATGCCATGGCTCTGGCATTCTTGTTTCCTTTGTCTGCATTGCACTGGGCAAGATTACCCGCGGCGTTGGCAGATGTATGCGAAGGCCTGCACCAACCCCAGAGCTGATAATTCAGACCACCTCCACCTCCCAGGCCTACGAAAGAGTCTGGTGTATTACAATCATTTTCTTGGTTTGCCATCACACCCATCCGAACTCTTGTGTGTCGCTGACTATTAACGTATATGTTAAATCCCTCTCGGATACAGTTGCGCTGTAAGGATGATCCATGGATCAATGATTTCCACTGCGCGCGACCAACGTGAGTTTGTCGATATTTTCCGTCTGCGATCAAACTATACAGCGATGATGCCGGATACGAGAAAGAGAATGCTCTTAAACGACCACCATATTTCATGCCAACACAAATTTCTTTAAATGAGGTTTGCCAGTAAGTCGATCCTTTATATTGTCGGTTGTCTAAACCGCCGTTTCGCCAATAGGCGTTGTCACCGTAAGTGCTTCTGCTCGTCCAATAAGAGGAACTGTATTTGAAAGTACTCTATAAAAACAAATACTATAGTTTAGTCAGATTGACTTTGATCCTTCTTCTCAGCCTAATCCTTAATCTGATTCCTCAGCTTGACCTTATGTCTAAACATGACCCCAATCCCAAAGTTACATTTAATCTCAACCTTCACCCGAAACCTCATCCTTTACACCCTTCTGGAGTATACGTCCTCTTGGCTATAGAGCCTCGTTTTGACTTACCAAGCGTCCGTCATTTTCATCACCATTGTCCAACCACCGCCATAGCAACTTGAGACTGACGTCATTCGACAGTACACGTTGATAACTTGATTGTTCCCAACACTGATTTGATAAACACCACTTCCTTTGTTGCTGTAAGATAAACGAAATATTCTGTATTTTGATTTTTGGTTTATATAACTTATGTAGAAAACTCACTGGAAACTCAAAGCGTCTATAATGGACGACGATTTTTGTATTTTGAGATGACTAGCTTGTACAAATCTTTTGAAATTATGCGGCTAACGAGAACGGGTTGAACAATTTCGATGCTGAAGTTATACCAGTTGATAATTGCTTCACCATGTTTGCACAAACATGAAAAAAAGATAGAACAATGGCAAAGTAAAGAAAACCATTAAGTATACCCTCATTTTACCTTCGACTCATCCATATTTGTTTGCATGATTTGTGTGTCAGCACTTTAACATCTTTAAAAAGGAAAAGAGTGGTATTAGCCAATGAACTAATAGAAAATAGAAAATAGAAAATAAAACATGGAAATTAGGGCAAAGCATCTAAATAAAACATGCTAATAATTTTCAGAATTCTTTATTATATTAATTTTCAGTTCTTTATTACCTTTATTCACCGTCGTAAGTTTATTGTTGATTTCTTGCTTAAAATTGTTAAGCTTCCCACTCACATCGTTTATCTTTTTCTCACTACAAATTCAATACATTTCAAAGCGTCTATATGGGCTACAATCAGGGCCGTAGCGAAGATGGTAAAGAAGCGGGAAGTATAGTATCGCATTTGCCGACAACATTCCAGTCGCTAATTAATATTTATCACTGTAAAATCAACAAGTTTCAAAGCCAACTGCACGTGAGGTTACATGAGCTAGAATTTTATATTGAGATGACCAGGGGGGGGGGATACCTCAATATACCTGGATACCAATTAAGAAATTATGATAAAAACAACTATAATCTTCTAGTTAAACACAAGCAGGACTATTTTAGAAATTCTTTTTTCATTAGAACGATTGAACTATGGAACACTCTACCCTCTTATGTCAAATCCTCCAATTCTTTAAGTATTTTCAAGTATCATCTTCATAAGTTGTATTCTACTAAGTCACGATTCAAATCTTAGCTAGTTTAAGTTGTTATAACTAATGTGTTATAACCTGTTCTAAGTTATATTAAATTAAAATTATTCTTATTAATATTTCAATTTTATTTTATTTTATTTTACATGAACATAAACAAAAAACAACGAAGTAAAGAACAGAATTAACTCTCATTTTACCTTTTACGATTGACCTTTGTAAGTTTATTGTCGATTTCTTGCTTGAAACTGTCAAGCTTTCCAATGACATCTTTAATCTTTTTATGAAAAAGACAAGATTACGTGAATTCTTAATTAATTGCGAGGCGTAATTATCCTGTAGATATATTGGTTAATATAATAACACTTTCATTTACCGCCTAAAATCGGCGACCAATTGGTGATCCCAACGAGCTGGCTGTACTTTCGACTTCATGCATCACCTAATGCGCGATTCTTGTGAAAAAAGCTGGATCCACCCTTCCTCATCAGGCTTTGTCGCAATTCATTTTTCTCCTAATGAGCCCTTTGCGTGCATAACTCTTTGCACACTATGATAACAATTGTGCCATCCAGTCTTTCAGTGTGTTCAAAACTTAAAAGACTCAGTATTGTTCGTCGTATTTTAGCTATTATAGTCCACAAATCAAGTATACGCCGAGTGAATTCCTGTCTGCGCAGCTGGCAGTTTTAAAATGTCGAGGAGTTGAGGCGGGGGAGGGAAATTTTACGTTTATATTTTGAATACTAATATCCGCAGCAAAACTGGAGGTAAAACGTACTTCGTTCTGATTTGCCAATGCTGTCCACTGAGATTGTTCTTTGATATACAGCTTCTTCTTATCAGAAAGATAGGAAAGAAGACCTTCCACCTTTGGAAGTTTTTTCATTGATTGATTGTTAGGGACTACTGCAACCTGCAAAAAATCAACAATACCGTGCTGTGATGTTGCTTGATGCTGTGATACCACAAGAAGAATTATTCTAAGCACAGAGAATATGCAGTTTTGCTCAGATTTTCTGCTAAGCAGGGGAAATAATTTGATATAATACATAAAAAACTTACTTAATGACTTTTAGCTTACCCCATCATTAATTGTGACATCTTCAGGAACTGAACATGGACCCTAAATAAGTAGTACATATGAACAATTATATAGACAAATGTCTTATAAAGGGAACCTCATATAGTTTTGTTTCAGATCTTGCACCAGTCTGTTCAATATATACCTTGTCTTAATTCTTAAGCTGTATTTTAAAACGTGTAGAAGCCCACCTAAACTGACCCTTCCACCGTAGCTGTGCTCCATTGTCAGACTTGAGACTACCAGAGGCGCCCTTAGAAAGCCTTCGAGTCGACCAGGCTGAGCAGCGTCCGTAATTCAGCTTTGCTTTCTTTGCTCGAGCGAGAACTCGAGAACGTTTACCGTGCAGACAAAAACAACAGAAAGGGACTGGAACTGACGTCCAATAGCTCCTTCAATTTCCGCCATCTTGGCAAGGAGTCAATCTCGTATGGAACGTGAGGCTCTGGGATAATCCGTTGCCGGAAGCCAGGAATCCTGGCTAAGACCGAACTGCGCATTCCATATCAACGTACGGTCAATCAGATTCCTCCCTGAAACGGATTATCCCAGAGCCTCACGTTCCTTCCCGAGGATCGCAGGCTCGGGGAACGAGATTGGGCAAGGAGTGTACCGAAATTTCGTATTTTGACATTGACTAAAAAACTGGAATTAGCGGGGGGGGGGGGGGGGATTGTATAAAAGCTGTTTACGACCTTCAGAGCTATTGGACGTCAATGGCCGCCATGAATGACTGACGTTCTTACTCCAGGTAAAATATGGAGCTCACTGGCACACCCCCACTTACTTACCTACCTGTATATTTCTAGTTTCGTTCTACCATACCTTTCTCTTTATTCCATCCTCGACACGCCATGTTTCCATTTTTCCAGCACTATTCTTTTCTTTAAACTCCATGCATTTTTTCCAAACACGTTTTGGTAAAGATGAACGGATCCAAAACCAAACTGTGATATTGTCCTTTTCTCTTAAAACAGTTCCCCCATTGATTGCTTGACATTTTGGTGCGCAGTAATCCTGCTTACTGTCAGGACCAAAACATGCACAGCACTGTGAAATCGTAACATCGCATTATATAGCTACAATCATGGCCAAATGTTTGTGGAACGCAAGCTAATTAAAAGGTAAAGGCGCGCGAGTTATAATATTGTCATAGATTTCACGAAAAAGGAGCTCGCCCGGCCCCTTTTCCAATGTTGATCTTAGCGTTAATAAATCAGATTGTGTGATGCTTATTCCGAGCAGAACACAATCCCAAACAACATTGACTGGGGGAAGGAGTTTCTTTATTCAAATTAAGGGTAAAAACACGAAATCGCACTTTACGTTCCACAACATTTGGCCATGATTGTATAGGTTTTGCCGAATCGGGAAATATTTTATTTATGTACCCAAAAATGGCGGACAAGGCCTAGTCGAATGGCCAGTAAATAAACTGACTGAATGCAAAGTTGTATTTGATATAAAACGTTAAAAAACTGAGACTAATGATAAAATTTTGTCTAGGACTCCTTGCTCGCAAATTGAAATTATTAAGGTTGATTATTTACCAATTGAGATTGAATCACTTTAAATCATATGATCAAGTGACCAAACTTTTCCAAACGTTTCCTCGTTTATATTTTAGATGTACTTTACCTTTCCATGATCACATCCAACGAATGATGTTTGACTGTCCTGTATGCCTGAACGTCCCGACATGACACTGTAGCTGCATGAAGGAAAACAGCATGACGGTATGTGAAAATGTTTGTATTTTCTAATTCAAACCATAACATAATTACCTGTACGAGCCTGATGTGTCGATATGATAACCAGGAAGATATGCAAAACCAATTGGGCATGATTCTTTGAAACATCTGTTCATTTTCTCCTGGTGGAATAAAAATGATGGAAAATGAAGTACTCTGCAAGGTACATAAATTAAAATCTTGTGGATCAAAGCTATTAAAAGTAGCATAGGGTGACATACCCATCCCAGTCCAGGTGCAATTGAAGCTCCAAATCGCGAACCATAAAACGTCGTTGTTGCCTTCTTTCCAGTCATAAGATCTTTAACGTAGGCAATGTTCCCAATCCCTGGGTATCGATGACTGCATCCTCCTTCATGGGACATCAGTAATTTTGAAAGAATGCGTGGGGATTTAAAATGATAATACCTAAAGTGGAGTAATTACGCTGTGTTTGATTCAAGACAACAACAATCAAAACAGCGACAACAACAGCAGCAACAATAACAACAGCGGCAACAGCAACCACAGCAACGGCAACAACAGCAACAACAACAACAACAGCAGCAACAACAGCAAACAACAACAACATGTCACATACCAGTGCGCTCGGGTATCATGAAAATCTTTGCTCGTTGAAATCTGCACGCGAAAATCTAACACATTCTTCTCACCAAATGCACTCGACCACCTCGCCAGACCGTGAGGGTGAACAAGGGAGGAATTGGAAGGGATAGCCCAGGTTTCAGGTGTATCTTTGACATCAATCAACAGGAATCCCCATCTAGATGTATCAACATCACACCAGGCCTAAATCAAATGATAATTGGGCCACGGTTGCAAATATAAAAACCTGAAAGTGAAGGTCATGTGCACGAATCACCCTAGGGCTGCAATTACTGGGAGAACGCCGTTATATTAGCGTACGAATTCGCTTTGAGATTGAATCTGGCGAGATAAGAACTTTGAGGTGTAGATAGTTGAAAATGCAGAATTTTTAGGCAAAGATGCATAGGATCTGCAACAAAGTTCTGATTATAAATCACACATTATTTTTGACTTACTTTGACCGGGCCCTTTACTGTTTGAATCCAGTGAACTCCACTCTTAGCTTTTTGAACATTATCAACAACATCTGAACAATCTTTTGCCGGATCAAAATAGTTGCCATACGAATAACCTGAGCAATAACATGATCAAGGGCAACAATTAGTCTAATTTGTTACAAAAGTCCGAATTATTTTTTATTACAATAAGTAAGAGTAAGAAATTTATACTCGTGGCAAACTGATTCAAGTTGTGGGGTGTACCCCCCCCCCCCCAGGGTGGCAAGCCAAGACAGGTAGAGAAAGCCACACAGTCGCCTTTTAAGCAATGTTATTTAAATATTTAATTTAATTTACTTATACATAAATACCATTTATCATATCCCATTTATATTTTCCATGATGTTCAACACAAACCACGATTTTATCATCATCACTATAATCTTTGACAACCGTCAATTTTCCTCTCTTCTGTTTTGTGCAAATGCCAGGATCGTATGGATTTACCTGATGTGTTTAAATTGAGATTTAGACAGCTCTGCCATACATTTAGTGATACTGAATAACAGTATCAGTTCCACATTATTTTCTCTATAGAGGTCCAGTCAGGGTCGTCCATTATATAATTCTGCAGACAACGTACGGAATATTATTGAGGGGAGTGAAACCAATAGCAGGAATGCAGGATGTAGAATCTGTTTCAGCTGTGTCAAAATTAATGGCGTCACGAAAATGTATCTCGATTTACTGCGTGTTTATCCCAAACATTAAAACACCCAATTGATGGCGCGTAAAATTTGAATAAATTTAACGATATTATCTCTCATTTTGTCATGAGTGCATGCGTCTATATTAAATGCCGACACATCAAACATACAAAAGACCTGCCTACCTAGACTAAAAATTAGTAGCTCTATGGATAAAAATATATTTCATTTATTTACAATTAAGTAGTAGACTACAATTAGTTCACAAACAAATTACTTATGTCTACTTACTGCACTAAGCGTTGTAACTAGAGTCAAAATTAGAACTGCTGGCAACACTCTCATTTTTATTTACGCTGCTGTTGTAAAAAGTTGCTCTCTCTTGCTAGGACTTACCTCAAATGACGAAATGTTTGTATTGAAAAGATGTATTTTAATAGCTGTTTGATTTTTGTTGCTGAAGGAAGTAAATTCAAGTTTATTCGTGTCAACATGATCATGCATAGAGATAAGGAAGAAAAACATCAAAACATTCATTATTTTACTTTCCTTTCAACCATAAAGTATTTTTGTCACTCTTCGGTAGTATTATAAAAACATAATGTATTTGTTAGTGAATTTCGTGTTAAATGTAAAAGGAATACAGGGAAAATTTAGCATTAGACCTAAATTAGCTTCCTGGCTAAAACGCATCCGTTATTTACATTTGTTTGGTAGAGCGCAAACATTGTCTAAGCCGAGAAAATCAAAGCTGAAGTTTATGTAAATCAGGACAAATCTTTATCCGATTTGCAAACATTGATTAAACATTCATTTCTTTTGTATTTTCCTCGTGAATTATTAATGAATTTTTTAAATATATATATAGTTTTTAAAAAAAATTAAACAAAGACTGTTAAATTCAACTGCTGCCCACATCAATTCAAGTATTTCCAAGTAAGCCATTATTAAATCAATAATTTTTTCTCCCCCTTTTTTCCAAGAACGACTAAACAAAAAAGCAATGTTATAGATACATGCATCACTGCATCATGGCTCGTTTAAAACTGTTTTCCATTTATTCCAATGGTCGTGACTACCGTTTTTATTTCTTGTGACAAAAACTAAGGTATATAGGGTATAGGTCTTTTTATGTAATTTTATTTAATAAATGCTCATGCATGAGAATGATATGCTACGTCAATCACGAACATTTGTTAAATGTTATATCAACTTTGAAACAAACAGGTTATACTTTATTAGATAGTACAAAACTAACACCAGGGAATGGGTAAGAAAAATTGTGCCAAACTCTTTGCAAACTTCAGATAAAGAGATTAGGGTCTGTGATTTCAGTAGCCATGCGTAGGCTACAATCAGGAGCGACAATTATTGAGACAACAGCATAAATGCCCCCCTCACCCCCAATTCAATGTTGTGTGGATGACTGAAAAGAGAAAATTCAACCCACTTTTTCCACCATTGATCATGGGGGCAGGGGGGAGGCCGACGTACTTTAAAATGGCCAAAAATGTGAAAAGTCTCATTATTTTTGCACGCGATTGTAGGTAGAGTCGGGAAACCAGAAACCCAGTTTTTTTGCCTAATAGAGTTTCGATATATATTTTTATATATCTATAGATGACTATAACGCCATTTAAAAGCATTCAGGAGCCGCGGAACAGGGGAGTAGCCTGGTGGCATGCATTCTAGGGGGGGGGGGGGGCAATGCGGGCATGTGCCCCCCTCCTCCACTTTCGAAATGCTTCCGCGGCCTCTGAAAGCATTGATATAATCTTTCTTGTTTCAGTGAGTTCGATATTTGCATGAAGCTTGACTATCGACCACAGTAATGAGATAAACATGAATTATCTGAAATAATTTCAGCACACTAGTTGATCGACAAATTGGTTTAATTAAGCCATTACATCATTTGGATTACATGTTCCTACACTTCAGTTTAGATTACATAAAGTACCAACCCTTGATTGCATTTTGGAATGCGAAGTTTTTAACCATGCAATTCTGATAATTGAAAAATGTTGATTAAAATAAAACAAGTATACGATAATCATCAACTACTTAAAGTAAAATTAATATCGTGCTATTACCACTATAGGATTATATAGTCCCCTAACATTGAAGATTTAATCTAGTTTCTTTACTATAATACTATAATTAGCCATTGTGAATATGTTAAAAATGATCGTAAATGTGAATGATCCGGTTGATGCTAGAGATGGCCAAATTTAGACGAATTTTTGCGAGCGGAAAAATTAAGACTATTTCGATGGCTTAGACCAGCTATCAGGAAAATATTAGGCATGATTTGTTCCCAAAACCATTAAGGGATGAAAATTGAAAGAAATATAATGAAAAATGTTGACAGATTTCATGGTTTCCTTGCAATATTTTATTTCGTCTGGATGGTTTATCTATCGTGTTTACACTAAACTTTAAGATTATGTCACGCGAGGCAACGTTTGCTGCAACTTCAGACATGTAGAGCTAAATGAGTGAGTCATGTTATCTAAAACATAGTTACAGAGAAATAATGAACATGGCCCGCATTCCACTCAGCCGAAACTTTATCATTACACGTAACATACTCTTAAGGATGAAAATGAAAGAAACGGGATTGTTTCGCTAAGTTAAAAATAGATAAATAATTACGTCATTGAACAGACAAAGTCACGTGACAGAAAAGAGCGGGAAATAAACACGTTGGTTTTAAGCTGTTTACTCGAGGTTTAACGTTCAGAAATAGGTTTATATTTGGTATATTGTAAAGTGATATAGGCCAAAGAAGTAAGTTCATGTTGTTTATTATTACTAATTTACTTTATTCAGTAGATAATTCTTGTATTTATACTTTTAGATCGAATATTATTATTATTATTACTACTACTACTACAACTATTATACGATATTTGGAAATTATTTGTGGTCACTTTACAAACCGGTAATTCTGATTCTGGCGAGCCATAAATTCGATTTCTTGCTGACCAGGGCTTAAAGGATATTCAGAAAATGACGGAGGTAACGAAGGAAGCGTTAAACGAAGCGAAAAAGAAGCGGAGATGTGCAAAATCGAGTGTTACAAGGGCAGGAAATGGCTTGGATTATTTATTGAAAAATGAGAGACCTATACCGGAAGTTGAGGAGTCACTCGCTAATTTGGAAGATTTATACAAGAAATTGGTTGAAAACCACGACGAATATATTCAGTTGGTGGATGGCGATGAAGAATTTGCAACTGAGGAAGAATGGATTGAAGATTGTCAACAGAGGTTTATGCAGATAAGGATCAGAACAAAGGATTATTTAAAGGTCAAGTCACAAGGTCAGTTTGAAAATGAAATAAACCCAGAAACAGGTTTAGTGCCCAATCAAACCGAGACAACTGTTAGTGACAATGGGCAGCAAGAGCATGACGGTATCCCTGGGTCTGATCAAGGCCCATCTCACCAGGGTGAAGGTCCATCCCACCAAGGTCAACCCCCAACCCACGAAGGTCAACCCCCAACCCATGAAGGTCAACCCCCATCCCACCAAGGTCAACCCCCAACCCACCAAGGTCAACCCCCAACCCACCAAGGTCAACCCCTATCCCACCAAGGTCAACCCCCATCCCACCAAGGTCAAACCCCATCCCACCAAGGTCAACCTCCAACCCATCAAGGTCAACCCCCATCCCACCAAGGTCAACCCCCATCCCACCAAGGTCATACCCCATCCCACCAAGGTCAACCCCCAACCCACCAAGGTCAAGAACACAATAGTCCAAGTTCAAGTGAGGGTGCCCAAAGTATTTCAAATGTTCAACCTGTTTGTGGTTTCAAAATGGAGAAGCCAAAAATGCCTCGATTTAGTGGTGATGTCAGAGAGTACAGTATTTTTCGAGATGACTTTAAGCATGCTATTGAATCTAGATACAGTAAAAGGGATGCAATGACGTACCTTCGTGCATGCTTGCAGGGAAAACCCCTAGAGCTTATCAAAGGAATTGGTACAGATTATGATGGTGCATGGCAATATTTAGACTCAATCTATGGAGACCCCAGATATGTGTCGGACCAAGTAACCCAAGATCTGTCAAAGTTCCGACCCCTGAAAGAAGGAGAAGATTCACGCTTTTGTGATCTGGTGCATTTAGTAAAGCGTAGTTTCAATACGATGAAGGGAGTGGGAAAACCCCATGATATGGATAACAATCACATGTTATCACTAATAGAACAGAAAATGTGTGTGGAAGATAGAAAGATTTGGGCTCGTGAATTGGAAAGGAATGAAAAGCCAGCAAGCTTACAAGGTCTCATTGCTTGGATGGAGACGGAAATGAAGTCGAGGATGCGTGCAACTGCTCCACTGAGAAATCCGAGTCAGGGTTCGAGATATGTCAATCAGCTATCTGGAGGAAAACCACCAAAGTGTTGGATCTGCGACAATTCAACGCACTGGGTAGACCAATGTGAAAAATTTAAGTCCATGAGTCCAGAGGACCGTTTGAAAGCAGTAAGAGAAAACCACGCTTGTTTCAGTTGTCTTAAGAAGGCCGGACGTGACCACAGAGCATCAAACTGTAGCAGAAGGAAGCAGTGTACACAGAAAATAAGTGGCGTTCAATGTAAATATTATCATCATATTCTTTTGCATCCTTCAAATCCTGCAGCATCAGTGGGTGTAGCATCGGTAGAAAACAACACGGAAGCAATGCTGCCAGTTATTACAGTGAAGATATCTGGAAAGAACAATCGACACAAACAAGGGAACATTCTACTCGACTCTGGAGCACAAATAAGTCTGATTTGCACAAGTACAGCAAAGAATTTGGATTTAAAGGGAAAGGATGTTTCGATAACTATTAGAAAAGTGGGCGGTGAAGAAGAAATATTGGCGACAAAAGTATATCAAGTTCCCATTACGTCATTGGAGTCTGGTGCGAAGTTCACAGTCAAAGCTGTTGGAATTCCACATATTAGCGATGACATTTCAAATATCAATATTGGTGAAATGGCAAAAGGAATTGGAATCCCTGAAGTGAAAATTTACCGAGAATGTGGCCCAATCGATATGCTTATTGGGATTGATCACGCTTATATGCATACTGGAGATTCAAAGAAAGTTGGTAACGTTGTTGCGAGACATTCACCTCTTGGTTGGATTATTTTTGGAGCGATACCAGGCTTGCAGCAAACCAGTAGAATATTTCATGTCCAGTATACAAGACCTGTATATCTCACTGACTTTTGGAC